TGGGGAGGGTCTGGAAACCTTGTCTTTGAGAGGAGGTGGAAGAAAAGCGAGATACTGAGTGACAACAGCAGATGAATCCTTCAGATGCAGTGAAATTGAGTGGTAATGACAGTGGCAAAGCAAAGCTATAACTGGTTTGTTGGTAGGCAAACAAATGTGTGCCACTTCTGACCGTTTCTGTGGGTAAGGAGAGTTTTTGTTTCACCCAGGGTAGTGCACGTAGCCCTAGTTGGAGCAGACATTGGCAAAACTTCAGTCCCAGCCCTTCCTAGCTAAAAAATAATAATAAAACCACAATTTTAACTTCGGATACTGCCACCTGCTGAGTACAGTACAAAGCTGTCCTGTAACTGCTCCCTCTCCTGTGCATAAAACCGTGCGTGTTGGAGGATGCATCACGGGTGTTGCTATTTGATCTCTATTTATTGTGTTACAGGCATCTGGTGTGGAAGGCTCGGATATTCCTGATGATGGCAAACTTATAGGATTTGCACAGCTCAGCATCAGCTAAACAATGCTCCCAGGAGATGTTTCCCAACTGAGAACCCACATGTGCATATTCGTAATGCTTCTGTTAGCCTAAAAAAACCACTACTGCCAAAGAATTGAACTACAGCCCCCTTCCTAGAAGCTTTAACATTGTTTCCTTAATAGGATCACAAACCTTCCTGAAATTACCGATGGCGTTTACACCTTTTGTAAACAACTCTCATGTTTTTGTATCTGTCATCTCAGACATGCAGATCCAACACATCATTGCCTGCATGTTCATTTTATTATTGCCTTACTTTAAAGAGAAATACTACTGAGTACGAAGCAGGGGGTTCCACTGCTCTGATGATCTTGCCTAAATGTTCGCTTACATGTGGTTTCATTTTTTTTTTCTCACTTGCTATTTTTGCACAAGTTTTAATACTGAACGGATCTTTTTTTGTTCTTCACCCGCTTCCCTACCATTTGAAACACCAATGTGTACATGCTATTTGGGTCACCTGGAGTACTGAGATATCTGCTTCTCTTCAGTTGTATTTAAAAAATTCTACTGGTTTGAATGCTTGCACCTGAAAAAGCAAGTCAAGTCTTAACCCACAGAAGGGAGAGCTTACTTCCCTTGTGTTTGTGTTTTTGAGAAGTTCCTAGACTTTGAGGTGTTAGAAGTCAGCTTTCCTTTGTAAACTGCCTTAATTTTATTTTATTTTTTTTATCATTTTGGTTCTCTCCACATGAGTGCCAGGGAATGGCATGAGGGCTGAACCTTTTAATTTACGTTAAGCAGTCCCTCCTCAAAACATGTCTTTCATTCTGCATCCTTAGATGTAGTCTGTTGTTAGAGCAGAAGAATGAGGCGTTGCCGTCTGGAAACGGATCTTCCAGATGATCCATAAGCTACCGATGGTCAGAGGGAGAGGAATTCTGTGTCCCTCAGCGTTTGGAAAATATGCACTACCAAATGTTCTTGAAACCCGGTCTGTGATGCCTGGCTGTGCGAATCCTCCCTGATGTATTTGCAAGTCTTCTGCAAACTGGTACCCGTGGAACCATCCCTGTTGTGTTTTACAGCAATAAAGAGTTGCCGGTAGAGCGCTACACTAGGCGAGCGAGCTCCAAACTGTCCCTCCTGCACTACTTGCTTGGGTTGGCTGCCTTCTCTGCGATCCAAGCCTCAGCGTTTGATCAGGATGTCACTGCAACCATGTCACTCGTGTGTAGGTGTTGTTTCTATGTGGTGTTTCATTTGAATTTCTACATGAATAATATAAATTATACTTTGCGTTTGATAAGAGACACTTGTAATGCAATATGTGAATAATAAATGGTGTTGATTATTATTTTTTTTTCCTACTGTTTCACAGTTGGCCTTTGTAACTGCTCTTGGCTCTGAGATGTTTTCTACACGGAAATTGTAAGCCTGTAATTTAACACACAGATGGAAACGCGTTTGGTTTCCATCAGCCACAAACAATGCAGAAACAGAGTGTTAAAACGGGATGACTGGTTCAATTAGGACTTTTTTATTTCAAAGTCTCCTGATGAACAGTCTATATTTATATATTTTCTCTACGGGCAGCTGTGGAAGCTTCCTGGATATTGTGCATGTTCTTTTTCTACCACCCTTGTTTCTTTAGCCTCTAGTTGAGTATTGGGCAGGTCCCGGCGGGCGCTGCCAACCAGTCATGACCCCATTGGTAGGAGCGCGAAGGGAAGGAGAGGAGGAGGAGGGCCTGGGAGGAAGAGCAGCCCGGAGTCCCTCCAGGGTGAGGAAGCGAGAGGTGTCTGTTGTCAGGAGCTGGAAACCCTTCGGATGCAGAGACCAGCTAGTTGTGTTACAGTGTTATTTCTCCTTCTGCCTGCGTGTGCCGAGGACCTCATGGGTCTTCTGCGCACCGGTGCTGAGAGGGGTAGGACTCGAAGAGCTCAGATGAGGCAGCGGAGTGCCTCTGTGTTAAATTATTTCCCCCTTCCCCAAGCCAGGGCTTGGAGAGAGCCCAAGTTCACGCTACCCCAATGCTCCTTAGCTCTTTAAATGAAGAAAATAAGTAAGGGAGAAGATGATGTTATTTACTCTGTAGATCTCCCCATGCTTTGGGTAGTGATCGGAAATTTTTGCTTGGGGTGTTACAGTGCTAGACAACTTTTTCTGGTGGTGTTCCAGTAAGTGCCAATGCTGTTCGTGATGCTTTTCCGGCGTCGTTAAGAATTTGGAGGGTGGTGACGTGCAAGGTTCTGGTCTGTACCTGGAAATATGGTATTTTTTAAGTTAGTCCTGATTTAAGGACAATGCTCTGTTCATGAAAAAGGATCCTCTTCACAGCTTCAGTGTATTGTAGATTATAACGGAAGATGTAAAATATTCAGCCTTTTTTTTTTTCTTCCCCTTTTTGGACTTTGTATTTTACTGCATGTCTCTAATTTTTAATCAATAAAGAACAAATTGTGCGTTGTCTTGTGTTGTTTTAGTGGCGCTGAATTGGGTCGTGTCTCTTGGACAGGGAGCCTGGGGGATAGTCCAGGCGATGTCTACACCACCCAGTTAACTTGTGCTCCAGCAGCCCCCATGGAAGAGGGGGATTTGTAGAGCTGTGGATGAGGAGGGTGTTTTGGATCATCCTCAAGGGCTTGTCTCTTGCTAGAAAAGAATCTTCCATGCTGTGCAAGCTCTCAAGCAATTCCCTCTTCTGGGAATGGCACAGGCTGCCATGCAAGTGAGGTGGTTTGTGCTGGCAGAACATGTGGAGGAGCATCAGATACTCCCCTTCTGCCTCTCTTTCTCCAATACTCATCCTTTTTATACCTTAGATCTTATCCGGGGGGGCATCTCCAAGGTTTCACCCCTATATTTTATTCTACAAAATGCATTGAAGATAGGAGGCAGAGCCCAAGCGTGTCCATGTAACACGTGATCTTGGAGGCTTTTCACTGTCCTTGGACCATCTATCTTTGTAAACAGCAGTAGTGTGTGCGATACCTCCGTGCCAGCAGTCCTGTCGGGCTGTGGGAACGAGGAGGTCAGGTTTGAGTGTGTGGGTGACAGGACTCTTGGCAGATTGTCAATACACTCTTATCACAAGCCCGAAAACCCTTCCGTGATCTTGTGTTGAGCCATCATCGTATCAGAGTTGTCATGGGGTATGGTACAATTTTTAAGGTAAGCATCTGCACACCTTTTCCCCAGTTTTGGTCATCCTTTAGCAGTAATCCTGGCTGGCTCCTGGTGTGCCTCTGCGAGCAGCAGTGCGTGTTGGCTGCCTCTTGCACAGCCTCCTTTCCGAAGAACGGATTTGGAGGAAACCCAAAGTCTTCCCTTCTCCTTCGCATCCCTCGGCATTTCTTGCTTTCCAAGAAGTAAGGAAGCTTCAGAAAATAAAGGGAGATGTTACCTGAGAATTTAACCAACATTTCCTGCTCAAGGTCCTTCTGATTTTTTTCCTGATGTTTTTCTTCTGATGCCCAATTTATTCAGATCCTGTTTGTTCAAGCTGTCAGGTTTGTGTGGGTGTGATTCAGCCAGGGCTCAGGAGGGTTTTGTTTCAAGAGGTTGTGGTATTTCCTCCACAGCCACAGAGACAAGTTTCCTCCCTGCTCAGAGTGAGGGAAAGGAGAAGAGTCTCTTGACTTCATGAACTCATAGCGCCAAGTTGTCTTTCCTTCGGGAGCGGATGGGGAAGGTGCCATTCCGAGTGTGATCTCCAGGTCTTGGAGTTGGTTTGCCCTGTCCTGACCCTTCATTTTCGTAGAAGGGCAAAGCGTTTGCCTTTCCTCAGAGCCCCAGGAAGCTTCGAGTGAACCTGACTTCCAAGGCTCGCAGCTGGGATGGGAAGGGCTAGTCTGGTCCTCTGTGCTCATCGGGCAGTTTCTTAGCAGTCGCTCCAGTAATTGACCAAGCCATGCTTAAGAAGCCTTGGAGAATTAAACCATATTCCCATCTCCAATCCTTTGCATGCTGCTTTTTTGCTGCTGCCTTTCACAAGTGCCTTATATTCCCCCTGCAATCCCAAAGAGGTGCCAGGCTGTTCCTAGTTCTGGGATGAGCTCTGCTCTTCCATTAGCGTCACCCCATTTATCGCCCCAGAAGTTCTCCAGCTCTGCATCACTCTCCATGGGCTTGGAGCATCCCCCTTTGAACCCTGTTTCCCCAAAGAGTGGAGCTCTCAGGGACAGGCGCTTGTTTCAGCACTTCAGCAACTCCAGTAAACACTTGGAAAATGAATCTTTTTCCCATTTCAGTGTCACCCAGAGCTCGCAGAGCGGCAACCCAGGTCTCCAGAGAGGTCCTTCCACCCCATCCAGTAGCAGACTCTGTGTGTTAGTGGGTGGTATGGAGATGTTTAATGTATTACACAACGTACTTATGGGCAAAACATTGGGCATTAAGTCCATCCTAACAAAAAATCACATATTTGCTGAGGCTGCCTACGTCTGCAAAGCTTATCTTGGGTTTAAATATTAATTCCAGCCCCCAGAAAAGTCTCTCCCGGCACCGTGGGAAGCCGAAGTTGGCCATGTCAGGCACTGGGGAGCTTTTGAAAGCAGCTGGTGATTTTGGACCGTTTCAGAAATGGCTGCTGGTGCTCGCCTCCCTCCCGTGCTTCAGCCTGTCTTTCCACCAGTTTTGTCAACTCTTCATGGTCCCAGATGTTCCTCACCACTGCGACACCAGCTGGATCCGGGCGCTCGGTCCCAACCTGACGGAGGAGGAGCAGCTGAACCTCACGGTGCCCCGCGGGCCGAGCGGGGAGTACGAGCAGTGCTCCATGTACTCGCCCGTGGAGTGGGACCTCGACTCCATCGTGGCCTATGGCCTCAACGCCACGCAGGAGTGCAGCAGCGGCTGGGTGTACCCTGCGGACCATGAGGAGACGCTGGTCATTCAGGTCTGTAGCATCCTTGGCTTTCCGATGCTTTTGTGCTGTGGGAAATGGTGTTCTGCAGGCTGCGGTGTCCCAGGGTACTGCCGGGTCTGCCTGGACATGAGGATTGTCCCGTGGGATAGCCAGGTCCTCAAGAGGGCCTCAGCCTTCTTGCTGATCTGAATTTGTCCCAATTGACCATTGCTGCCTCTTCCTCTTGCTGGAAACCTCCAGCAAGGGATGGTCTTTCCTTCCCTTGCTCCTTTGGTCCAGGCCCCAGATGTTGTTCCCACTCCTGGGAATGTGGTGCCAGCTCTGCGTCCCATGCTCCATCTTGGTGTTTCCAGTGCCAGTCAGAGCAGGACACGCAGGGCACTGCTCCATCTGTACCAGGGTTGGGATTGCCTTGTGTCCAAGAAAGCTGCCCATTCAGGCAGACATCAAGAAGTGTTCTGGCTTAAAGGTTCATCTCTCTCCCTTGGCTGGAACTCACTTCCTTCCACTCTTACAAATGACTCAAATGAGTCTCCTCTTGGAGCAGGTTATTGGCTGGCAAGTGACCCCAACCAGGATGCTCGTTTCCTCTTTCCCCTTGGCTTTCTGAGGCAGCCCATGGCCTATGCTCTGCAGAGGATTTCTCTCATGACCCTCCTTCTCCAAATCACACTGGTGGAGAGGCAGCTCTGCAGTCCTGAGGAGTCAGAGGGCACCTTTCCCAGGGGGTGTTTCAGAAGAAAAACAGTTTCTTCTCGCAAGACAGCAGGGGCTGTGATTGAAGATGGGGTAGGGCATTTGCGGGACCTGGGCTTTAGCACTGACTCTGACTGATACGAGTCAGGAGGGCATCATTAACGGTGCTTCTCCTCATCTCCTTAGCTAGTGTCTGACAGGTCCCTTTCTACAGGCTTTGCTCTGGTTGCTGCCCAGGACCTTCCCAATGCAAGGTTGGGAAGAAGGAGAGGGCAATGCCCTCTCGTCCAAGGGCAGGGTCTGGGCTCCCGATACGTCCAGGCCTGTAGCCAAGAGTCAGGGCTGCAGCGCAGACAGTCAGGGTCGCTCACATCGGGGCTGTGCTGTTCATTGGCTCCTTGGTGAGCTCCTCTTGCAACAGGAGCTGCTTCATCTCTCCTTGCCTCCTCCCTTCTTGGCTCGCCAGGACGAGCCCTGGCTTTGCCATCCCTCCATTCCTCACATGTCCCCAGCTCTGTCTTTGGTCCTGGCTCTCCTTGGCTAGTTTCTTGGGCAGCAGGGAGATCCCAGGACGTGAATCCAGGTCTCTCTTCGAACCTGCTAATGGAGGTCTGAGTGTGGATACCATCGCAAAGAGAGGTGCTGCATTTCGCTTTGGAAGATGACACCAGTACCACGTCCTGATGGGCACTGGGCTGTTACAGCCCCTGCAGCCACTACAGGATCCGACTCCTGAAGGAGCTATGGGCAAGACTTCCCTGTAGATCTGTGCACGTAGATCTACCGGGCACAGCTCTTCCCTCTGCGTGGTGAGAGGGGGCCAAAGAAGAGCCGACAGCAGCTCCTGTGTCACAGGTCCAGGAAGCTCCACGAAGAAGAAGGCAGCTAGATCCCCATGGCGCTTCCACAGCTTTGTGTTTGCTTTTAATTGCCAGTGTCCATCATGGAGCCCCTGCCCTTCTGATGATGCTTAACCCCCAAAGTGTGCAGCGTGCCCTCCTTCACAGGGCTGGGAAGTGCATGAGGTGTGAGGGGGTAGCTTTTGGTCAGCCTCATTGCAATGGAGTGAAGTGCCTGTGATGAATTTCCCTTTTGGTGGCTTTCGGTCAGCCCCCTTGCAATGAAGTGCAGAGCGTGAAGTGCCTGTGATGAATTTCCCTTTGGCTTGTACTGTCCCAGTTCCTCGTATGGACTCCTGATCTCCTGGGAAGGTGCTTTGGTGCAGATCAAAAACCTCATGCAATTTAACAAGGCCAAGTGCAAGGTTCTGCACCTGAGGAGGAATAACCCCAGGCACCAGTACAGGCTGGGGACCGACCTTCTGGAGAGCAGCTCTGCAGAGAGGGACCTGGGTGTCATGGTGGATGATAAGTTGACCATGAGGCAGAAGTGTGCCCTCGTGGCCAAGAAGGCCAATGGAATCCTGGGCTGTATTAAGAAGAGCATCTCTAGCAGGTCGAGGGAGGTGATCCTGCCCCTCTACTCAGCCCTGGTGAGGCCGCATCTGGAGTAGTTCAGCCTGGAGAAGAGAAGGCTGAGAGGGAACCTGAGCAGTGTCTATAAGTACCTCAAGGGAGGGAGTGAGGAGGATGGTGCTGGCCTCTTTTCACTGGTGGTCACTGACAGAACTAGAGGTAATGGCCACAAACTGAAACACCAAAAGCTCCACAGGAACTTAAGGAAAAATTTCTTAACAGTGAGGGTGACAGAGCACTGGAACAGGCTGCCCAGAGAGGTTGTAGAGTCTCCTTCTCTGGAGATCTTCAAAGCCCACTTGGACGCAGTCCTGTGCCACGTGCTCTAGGTGACCCTGCGTGTGCAGGGGGTTGGACTAGATGACCTCGAGAGGTCCCTTCCAACCTTAAGCATTCTGTGATTCTATGATTCTATGATCATGGGTGTGTGGATGCATATGGAACCAAAACCCCAGGGAGTAGCTGATGGCTTTTGATGGAGCAGCAAGTAAGAGCTGACCCACGGGCAGCACACAGAGCAGATCGACCACTGGGGCTGCAGTGCATCCTGCACTGTATCTGCACCACATCAGTCCCAGTGCTTAACCTCTAATGAGCCGTCTTGGGAGGAGGGATCAGCCCCACAGTCTGATGTTTGGGTTTGAGATGATCCAGTGCAGGGAGCAGCAAAGAGTGGAACTGGCTCTGCAGGAAACTCCTGCTTAGGAGAAGCCTTAGGGCAGATTTTGGCCTGCGAGCAACAGCTCTGAGCACCATGGGTACCTGATGGCGACCGAAGCAGGAGGCCACAGAAGAGCAGGGACCCAGCCCCAGGCTCCTGAACCACTTCCCTCAGCTTGGCCTGCTGCTCACTCCTCTGGTGCCTGGATGCAACCCCAGAGCCTGGGTCCAAGCCATCCCTTGGGTGTTCACAACCTCCCATCTCTGACGAAGACCTCAAGTGTTGCAGCACAGCTACCTTTGGGAGCCTGGGGAGAGGTGCCAGCCTGAGACAAGACACAGTGTCCTCACGATGCCCCCGCGAGCCGCAGTGCCCTGGCACCTTTGCTCTTGCCTTGGGAATGGGGAGGGAGTTACAAGAGGCAAAGTACATCCCAGAGGATGCCAGCAGGTTGTTGATTGGGCTGATGGAAAATATGGCGATAGAAGTGCGTGTGTTATCATATCTGATTAGAGATTTAGTACTCACACAGTTTAAACATTAATTTTGCTTTTAGAACGTTTCTGTTCATTTAAACGACGTGTTCCAGTACAGCCTGACCATGGGAGTCGCCACCGTGTTTGCGTTTGGAGATATTTTAAACGCTCTGGGGGAGTTTGGGCGATTTCAGAAATGGCTGGTGGTGCTGCTCTCCCTCCCAGTCCCTTTGACTGCTTTCCATATGCTTGGCCAACTCTTCATGTTGGTGGATGTGCCCCATTACTGCGACACCAGCTGGATCCGGGCGCTCGGTCCCAACCTGACGGAGGAGGAGCAGCTGAACCTCACGGTGCCCCGCGGGCCGAGCGGGGAGTACGAGCAGTGCTCCATGTACTCGCCCGTGGAGTGGGACCTCGACTCCATCGTGGCCTATGGCCTCAACGCCACGCAGAAGTGCAGCAGCGGCTGGGTGTACCCGTCCACACAAACGCCATCCCTGCTGACTGAGGTCTGTAATTGCCTTCTGATGCTCTGGGGACGTGGACATCGTGGGCTACCCAAAGAGCCACGCTGTGCTGCAGCGTAGCCCATGCCACGGGCATTCGTGG